TTATTATCAATTTACACGGGATTCTCACATTAAGATTTCAGAACACATCCCTTCGACTATCCCGACTAATATGAGCACGAGCACGCCTCCTCGGCTCGACCTTAACCTTCCTCCAACAACTTCTCTGTCGTCTGGACCGAGTTCCCCTCATGTCGCGACCGATGAAGCCCCAACGCAGTTCCGCGAACGCCTCGACTCGGCGCTTACCGGAATTGGCGGAGGGGTTCTACATTTCGAGGCGCCAATTTCCCCGACAGATGAACGTGTTGATGGACCCTCATTTGACCGCTATCTTGAGCCCGCTCAACAAGCGCTCGCATCAACAAGCGCAGGATCGTCGTCGAATCCAGGTGGAAGTGGTAGCGCATCCCCCTATTACCCCCGGCCCTTTGCGGAGAGCCCGTTGTTCGAATGGACGGTACCTCACGCCCTAGACTGGGATACTCCGACGTTCTCAGCCAGATCCCCGGGCGGTTCGGCTTCGGCCGACGCGACACGGTTGCCTCCTTCTCCTTGGCGACGACACCGCAATAATAGCAATGATAATACAACTACTACGCCGGATACGACAGTGGCAGATCTTCGGCGGCTTCTGGGGACGCCGTTGCCCTCGCGCCTACTTCCACGCCCGCCGTCCCTGGCGGCCCCAGCCACCACAACATCTAGTCTCGATGCCGTGGGGCTGGATGTGGATCTCGATGACGCGTACTTAGACTTGCGCATGCCTCCTAACGCGCGCGCTTGGGAGAGTGCGGTTGATCGAGCGAGGACGCTGCATCAACAGCGGGAACGCGGACGGGAGCGAGAGCGGCGCGAGAGGGAGGAGCGGCAGCGTGTGCATGAGCGGGAGAGGCAAATCGCGCGCGAGAGGGAGGAAGAGACGGAGAGGGAGCGGGAAAATCCGTGGCGGCTTGACAGCATCTGGGGAACGAATGCGGGCGTCGAATCGTTCCCGAGCGCACGGCCGCGGCCGCGGGAGTCCTCACTGACGCGGATGCGACGGGAGCTTGCGGAGGATGAATTGGCGCTGGAAATAACCAGGAGGAGGGCCGTGGAGAGGCAGTTGCGGCAGACATTGGATCGGGATAGGATTTTGGATCGGCGCCTCGAAGATGAACAGCCTGAGCGTGGTCAGTCGGTGTCGCGTGCTGCGAGGTATCTCGAGTCTGGACTAGTCGATCCGCGGGAGGCGCCTTCTGCGCCATCCAGCAACTTGCGACCTCCGTTGGATACTTCGAACCCATTTAGTGTATCTTGGACGTCCAGAAGAGCTGCGCGCCCCGTAGCAGATGATGCTTCTGCATCTACGTCTCGTATTCGTCAATCGCGAAGCAGTAGTCAGTCGAGGGAGGGTCCCACCGATTGGCTGGGTCGCATGGAACGCGATGAACTCAGCCCCGACTTTGATCTGTTGGACGAATGGCTCTCTGGTGAGTAGTATCTAGTTGCTCGTGATTTCAACTTTATGTCTCTTAGAGCATCCCCCTCCACGGAGTGTGACTCCAGCGGCCGGTCCATCAAGGAGTAGTGCATACGATGAACTTGAAGCGTCAGATTTTCCGCGACGGAACCCTGGTTCGTATTCCATCTGTTTTATTTACATATGGTGCTGAAAAAAAGAACAGAAGGTTCTAGTGCCTCTTCCGGTGACCTCTGGCGGTCCCGCGCCACGGGAACGTGGCAGCCACGCCTTGCCCTTTCGCCGCAATCCACGGCACAACCCACTCGCACGGCTACGCATGCGCGTGCCCAGTCGATTCCGAGCTCATCCTTGTCGTCGGCGACGGCGCAGCCATCCCTTCATCGTCTGCGCCAGCGACTGCACGAACAGCCCAGGGTAGGTGCCTCGACTTCGCTTGTATCAGAGAACGCCGCTGCAATACGTAGGAGGGAGGCGCGGACAGAGTTGATGGAGCGCCTGAGTCGCACCATGAACATGGACATCGACCTCTCTGACCCCGAGTCCGATTATGACTTCCTCGTGAGCCCGCAACGCACACGGAATCCGCAGCCTGCCGCGGAGCGAGACGTCGATAGGGATATGGACTCGCTTATGGACTCGGACGACGACGAGCCTCATATTAGTCGTCCGGTGGGGCGGCTGCCGCTGGGTGCACTCCCGCCTGCAAGCCGTCCGTTTAGATTCCGTAGTCAGAGACAGGGCGACCCGAGTCACAGTCCACCGCTGTCGCTGAGGATTCCGAGCGGTTCTGTCCGGTCGCGCTCCGCTTTCGAACAAGAGTCTGCGGAGACGCCTACCGCTTCGTCCTCTGGTTTGAATTCCCGGCGAGCGTTACCTACTCAGACGCGGAGGCCCATCGTGCGCCTGCGGCAGCATCCCATCGGTGGAGGAGAACTTAGCCCTCCGCCTTCAGCCACGGCGTCTGTGGACCGGCGCCATGTTTCTTGGGAGGCTCCTTTTCCTTCGCGGGACAACGGCGTGTCCAGTACTCTCCAGTATCTCTCTGCGCTGTCTCACGGATTCGACTCGCAGGCGTTGTCGATTTCGGATTTGGCGCACACGATTACGACCAATGAAGCGCTTCGGTCGCCGCAGTGGGGCGAGAACAGCGAGTCGCCGTTCTCAAGTCTTTTCACGCGGTCTGCTCCTTCTCCGACCCGCAATGGGTCGAGTTCGGGGTCGAGAGCGCCCGAGATAGCCCGAGAAGTCCCGTCGTTGCCACCGCCGGATCTTGGCGGGGACTTTGACAGAGGCGATGATTTGCTGCGATCCGCGAATGCTGATGGAGCCCGTGGCGCACCAAGTTCAAGCTCTGAGTTGCCCACTTTGCGCCCACCAATTCGGCCTCCTACTCCTCCTTCTCATAACCCCTACACCGGTCCCTTCCGTCTTACCATGCAGAGGCGGGAAGAAGCATTCCGAAGAGCAGAGCGCCGTCTCCCCGATGCACCGTCCATTCCGCCGTTGTACTTTGGAGATTTTGGACATAGTTCCACGTCGTCCCGGCCCCAAGAACGGTCCGAGAGTGGAAATACACGAGTAAGTTTTACACGCTTGAATTAAATATGGGTATGGATATTGACCATCTTCGCAGCACGCTTCTCAGCGGCATACAAACTTCCACCTTCCTCCAATCCGTAACGAGGCGGCATATGCGAACTCGCGACTCGCAGATGCAGAGCGACGCCTGTTCAATTATCGTGGTCCTCCATCCAGCTCACAAACGCTGGATGCCGATGGCGACCCGCGGCGTTTCTTCCCCTCGAGGCCGGTACCAACGTCCTCCACCTCACCTGTGGAACGACTTCGAGAGACAGAAGAGCAGCGGCCGCGCCGCTACATGGACCCAGAGGAGCAGCCGCAGCCGCAGCCGCGCCGCTACAGTGCCACGGAAATGCACAACGTATTGGCCCGTCAAGCGCGACTGGCGGGTTCTCGACTCGCCCCCGACTTGCCTTCACCCTCGACCGCTTATCGCGCACCTGGCGGCGATACAGACCCCGCTGATCTGAGCCACAACGCCTTTTCGACGTCTCGCGCTCAGCTGATTTCTCGATACCACCATGAGCGAGTTGAAGTCGAAGCGCGCGAGACCTCGTCATCATCGAGTTCTCCTTGGGCGGCCCTACCTCCTCGTCGGCCACGCGACGACACCAACCGTGCGGATCTTGAGCACAGACGCCGTCGTGCGATGGGAGCTCGGCCTTTAATGAGCGAGGCAGAGCCGCCACAGTTGCGGCATCGCGCTTTCCGTGACCCGTCTTTCCATATGATGTACGGTTTCCCCGGCGGCACGGCTCGGTTCCGTCGCAGAGCGCTTGGGGACTATGTGGTTCGTACACTGTGTCTTTCTCGCTGTTTGAAAATAACATTATTTTGTAGCGCGATGAGGATTTCGACGCTTCTTACGAAAACCTGCTTTCATTGAGCAGTGTCATTGGAGACGCAAAACCCAAGTCCACTCCAGAACACGTACTCACTAGTTTGGACACTGCGTCATACAAGGATTGGGCCACCACGGAGAGCGACCAGCGGTGCCCCATCTGCTTGGATGATGTGAGTGCGGTTCTTCTGTCATTCTCAAGAGCTTATGGTTTTGTAGTACCAACCCTCGGATCCGGTGATGAAACTTGGAGACTGCCGCCACTGGCTGCACAAGGAATGTTTAGAGCAGTGGCTCAAGGGCGCAAGCACATGCCCTGTGTGTCGCAAGGACGTGAAAGGGAAAGGGAAGCGGCCCCATTTTCGCCATCATGGCTCGGATTCCAATCGTCGGAGGGATGGTGATGGCCCGGACGGCCCTGGTGGACCTGGTCCGTCAGGAAGCGGAAGTGGAGGTGGAGGAGGTATCCCCCATGTGAACTGGATCAACTTCTTGACGGATTGAACGAGCAAATCATATGTACTTTTATCTACCTGCACATATTCAAATTCGCACTTCATGTGTATTTATTCAACTCTAATTTACATGACATAGCCTTGCAGCACACATACGAGTGGAACGTCAGCAGGCGAATTTCTTCGCGCAAAGTGCCATGAGCCTTCCTACAGGAACACACCGCCTGATTTTTGAGCGCGAGGAACAGCGTTTTGTTACCATGTCTCACCAGTCTCCCATTCCTTGCAAACGACGGTACTACTGTACAATTTCATTCAATTCGGCAGTCACGCGTCACGCCCATTTTTTTTTATTGCTGCAATGATTTTTTCTCAATTTATCCGAATTCTTTTGGATTTTAATTGTACCAAAATTTCCGAAATTGTGCCGAATTGATCGAAATTGTACAGTATCCCAAAGAGGCAACTTGACCGTTTTGGATCCATTTTTCCCTCCTTCACATATACCTCTCGCGACATCGTCTTTCGCCGTTTGGACACCATATAGTCTCCCAAAGAACTCAATTCTGCGCCCAAGACGACTGTACCATCCCAAAAAGGCAATTTTCTCGTTTTGGCTCAGTTTTGATTCGTTCTTCTTCCTTCACACCTTTCCCGACATCGTCCCTCTCATATATCTCTCCAGACATGACCTTTCGGCGGCGCTATGGCCGAGTGGTTAAGGCGACAGATTCGAAATCTGTTCCGGTTTCCGGGCGCAGGTTCAAATCCTGCTGGCGTCGTTTATTTGATCCTTTTTGCGCCACCAAGAATTTCCTTTTTCGATGACGGGCGTCAGTGTGTTTGTGTCTGTGCCGGCAATCAGTGGCGAGCGAACTAGCGGTGGGCTATCTCACCATGGCTTTAGCCCGACTTGTGGACGTGCACACCCATGTATATCTCCCCCGGTATTTCTCCCCTGCTGCCCAATATATCCGCTTACTTCCTCGCCAAGATATGCTGCTCTTCTGAGGTCACGAACTACAGTCCCCCGCATCATTACTTCCAGCCGCGACGGGAAGCCAGATGATAGGTATTGCTCTTTGAAATACCGACTTTGTAGCAATCTCAATTCAAGCCAGGCTCGTCATCCTGGACCGCGATACTGGGCGACCCGTGGGACCCCAATACTGGGACCGCGACGAGAAGCTTAAATTCATGGATCGGCATGGGATCGACTTGTCGGTGGTGAGGTCAATGCCTCGTTATACGTCGTGGGTCGCGCTGCAACTCTGATGCTCGCGCCGCTCATAGCTCAGCCAACCCATGGCTCGATTTTCTCCCCGCCTCCGAGGCGCAAACTTTAGCTTCGGAGCTCAATGAGGACCTCGAGCGATATTGTGCCGATTCACCGTCATTATCACCGTCTCTGAAGCGTCTATATGGCTTTGGAATGCTGCCGCTCGTGCCTGAAATACCCATCCCCGCTCTTCTGGATGCGATTGAGCAGATATCTAAGCTCTCGTATCTGAAAGGAATCATAATGGGGACGCGCGGGATCGGTAACGGCTTGGATGACGACGCGCTCGATGACGTGGGTTTCGTCGTGTTCCATGGCATTTATTGCGAGTTTCTAAAAGCGGAGACAGGTGTGGGCTGCGCTTGAGAAAGCGGGCCTTGTTGTGTTTCTCCATCCGCACTACGGCGTTAATGGGGAGGCATGGGGCGAGAAAGATAATGGACATGTGCTCCCGCTCGCGCTTGGCTTCCCGTTCGAAACGACGATAGTGGGTTTTGGTCTGTCTTTTAAAAAAACGCATATCTAACAAACCTTAGGCAACGACTCGTCTGATTCTTGCTGGCGTCTTCGACCGCTTCCCCTCCCTTCGGCTTTTACTCGCCCACTCGGGCGGAGCATTGCCCCAGCTTTCATCCAGACTAGCTTCGTGCATTGACCACGATCCCGTGGTTGCTTCGAGACTCAAGCACGACGCCCGATGGTATCTTGGGAAATTATACTTTGACGCCGTCGCATACGGCCCCGAGGAACTGGGATTCGTCAGCGACGTCATTTCGCGTTCGCAGCGCTACGAAACCGGAGGCTCTGTGTCTACCAATGCAGCAGTGGACAGAGCCCCGGGTAGCAGCAGGATGCTGTTCGGGACGGACCACCCATTCTTTCCACCGCTTCAGTCAACCGAAAAGTGGCAAAGTGTCGTGGAAAATCTGCAGGCGATTGATGCAGTGAATGGCTGGGGCCAAGCAGAAAAGGACGGCGTGCGTGGTGTTAATGCTTTGTCTTTATTCAATTTAGTCTAGGTGTGATACACTATCTTACTCTACTCTGAGCGCGGACTACGCTTTGGGCATTTGGATCTTGAGGCTGAAATCGATGTGCTGGACAGACTGATGCACGGTGCTTGTGCTCAAAATGTCGATATCTAAAGCACAGGTCAGAGAGATGCAAAACAGTGAGGCGAGACAACTACCATTGATCGCCCGCTCCTGGAGATTATCCTCTGTAATATTTCCACTCGTCTCCAGCAAAAACTTCCTCTTCCCTGCCCACTTCTTGCGCAAACTCTGAGCCACGCTCACAAGCTCGGCGCCCTCGATGTTGTCGAGCATAATCACGTCGGCCCCGGCGTCAATTGCCTCGTCCGCTTCCGCCTCGGAGCCAACCTCGACGTCGAGAAGCAGACTGAAACCTCCGACTTGGCGCGCTTGTTGGATAGCAGCGGTAATGGAACCTAGTGCATGAAATTAATACGCTGAGAAGCGAGACACGATGAATGAATATTATACCGGAGGACCAAATGTGGTTGTCCTTGAGCATAATCATACTCGAGAGGTCGTGTCGATGTGGGTCGATACCTCCGACCAACATTGCATATTTCTCAACCAGTCGGAATCCTGTAAAATATACAATCCACTCTATCAGTCGCAACAATGGCAATTGAGAAGCTCGTCTATTACCGGGTGTAGTCTTCCTGGTGCCAGCGATGATGCCCTGGAACCCGTATCCCCTCGCGAGATCCTTGACCCTCTTGGATCTGAACCGCATTCAGATGATGCGCTGAGGCGCAAGGACGGACGAACTTGGTAGCGATCCCACTACAGCGCGCCAGCATGTTCAAGGCGACGCGCTCCCCCAGCAGCAGGTGCCGGGCCTTGCCGGTTACAGTCGCGACGTGCTTCACGGGCTCAAAGGTCTCGCCTTCTTCGAGGTGCCAGACGACTCTGCGGGCGGAACATCAGTTAGGGCACGAATAGCTATTGTTTCGCGTACTCGCAACCCAATTGCGTGAAGACCTCGGTGAAGAAAGGGGAGCCAGCCAAGACGGCTGGGGATTTGCCTTTGCCAAAGAGATAGGCTTCCCGGACGGCTTCGCCAACTACATATCCACCATAGTCGAAGGAGGGCGTGTCTTCGGCCAACCAAGCTGTGACCTGGGGTTTCCAGCTAGGAGGCAACAGATGCGCGTAGGAATTGGGCATGGTTGCTGCTTCCAAAGGTTAAAGCGTAAAGCTTACTACTGCAGCCCGAAAGCGAATTGCTCAGCACAGTCATGTGAAAAACCTTGACGCCAAATAATAAAAAGAACGGAAGTAGCGCAGACCGAAGACATGCGCAAAAAATACATGTACTCGAGGTGGTATCCGATATCTCTGCGACGACACAATATAGTATGTTCCGATAGATAGAAAGTCATCAACGAGCTAGTAACTTGGGATTTATGGGTGTCAGAGGGCAAGGATCGCGCTCAGGAGCACGAAAGCGCCGACGAGGCCGGTGTGCACGCCCATATTGGAAAGTGCCGCACTGGTGCCACTGGGGCTTGTACTTGGGGCCGCGCTGCTAGAGTCGGAAGTTCCGGTATTGGTAGCGGGCTCGGTGGGCGCAACAGGCGTCGAAGGAGGACTGTCAAGGAATGAGAATGAAACGGGCGAGAGAATATGATGGCCCTACAGTGTGGGGGTGGCCGAGCTAGACGAGACGGCAGGAGCGTTGATGGCGAAAGCTTGAGATTCAGCGAGTTGGGTGGTGTTCTCCGTGCTCAAGAGGAATTGGAGGAAGTAGTTGCCCCCAACAGCCGGCCAGCCCTCCGAGGGCGGGCTGACGGTGGTCTGTCACTTGTGAGCTCAGTTTGCCTCGGCATTATGCGCGAAAGAATTACATGGTCGAGGGAGGTAACGACGAGGGCGTCCAATTGCTGCGGGACCGGAGCAGTAGTGGTGTTTTTGTTCTAACGGGGGTCGCGGCTGTTGGCAAGGTACAGATGGCAACGCAGAGAAGACTTACTATCAGGACGATAGTGAAGTTCAGAGGGTCGGTATCGACCTACAAACAACCGAGGTGTAAGGTTAAACGTTTGCAGCGAATGTCTCTGAGGACTAACCGACGACCAGGTGACAATATTCGACTGATTGTTCAACCAGTTTGAGCCGGGACCAGGAGTAAGGATTTGTATTGCGGAGACGGATGCCACGAAGGCGGCGACGACGAGGGAGGTGAACATTTTGTTTCAACGAATGTGGGGGGAAAGGACAAGCCTGGCTGATATGACACGCAGAATTTTCGATTAATGATCTCGGGCCACAGTTACGGAGTGATAGCCGGTCAATGCCCCTTTCCTTGTCACCTTGTGCCTCAAAAAAAGATTTCATTGAAGTTGAACACGCCATTGGCATTCGGAGCTAGAGCGCGATGAACGACTACATTTTTTGGAAGCACTAGACTCGAGATTTGATAATTTCTTCTGCATCCATCCATAAGTCTCTCTGTGCCCACATACCAACAACCGTCGAGATAATCAACCAGCAGGATCCAGGGGTTATATCTTCTTTCGGGATGCGGTCCATCTTGGAATGCGTCAGATCCTTCAATAGACCGAGATACGCGCGCGCCAAATTCCGCAAGAGATGCATTTCATCTGCGGAAACAAACTCATCGACGCGCGACAGCAGGACGAAGATCCATCGCGCGTGAGTCTGTGTTATGCGGAAGCGCCTCTCCGGTTGCATGTGAAGGTTGGTCCAGTACGTGAAATACATCAGCAGGTGCAGCGCCGTCCGCTTTATCCGAGAAAAATCAGCAGCATACTACGGGCGGTATGGAAGGCTTACATGATCTATCAGCCTTAGCAGCGACGGTGTTGGCTCCCGAGGTATATAGGACGGCGTTGAGCTTTGTCCCGCAGGGGTTCCGAACTGTATCTCGGCGTCGTCGTTCATAGGGTGCATTTCCGGAGGTTCTGCGTCGCGGGAAGATCCACTCGCACGACCTTCATCCATTCTCGAGTCATCATTCGAAAATCCCCGCATTCCCCGCTGGAATTTGTTCTGACCCCTCTTTGGTACCTTCGGCGGATCCCATTCCTCCGCAGGTCTCCCGGACACAAAAGCCCACCAGCAATCACGGTCTTTCCAGTCTGGCAGAAGTTTGCGGTTGTCGCGCGCAGGCTGCTGTATTGTCGGCTGGGCAAGGTTCTGCCAGTAGAATTGAGTGAATTTTCACGCATCAAACGGGCGGAGGGAGCTGACTTCTCTGAAATTCCTAAAGCGCGTCTCGAATAAAGTACGCCACTCCGGGCTGGGGAGCTCCGGGTGAACTGCAGGCAAAATATCATCACTCGGGGGGTGAGGGGGAAGCCGGTCGGGGATTTCGTACGGGTTTGGGGCTCTGGTTACATGGGGGAGGTGTCGGGCGTCGCGACTGACGTTGTGTAATTGGTTAATTAAGAAAAGGCGTACAATGTGAAGCTGCTCACCGAACAGTAAAGAGATACTGCATTCCATCTTC